AAAAGCATTAATTGCTCATACTAACTCTATCTCTATAATGCTTGTATACTATTGGTTGGAATCTTATAATCACGTGATCCGACATCATACATTGTTTTACTAATGGATCGGAAAGCCGGAGATGATCGACAACATCACGTGGCCCGAACTTTTGGGGGTCGTGCTGGTAGACTCTATTACCTCGTCTCTTGCATCACGAAATGACAGTGATGTTAGTATGTTCGATATTGGATGTAGTCAGCCACCTTCTTATATGGAATCTATAAACGAGGAGAGGAGTTAGATCTTGTCCTGCTATGTTATATTTTTTGCTGTGACGAACTGACACGCCGATCACTTGTCAGAGAATATAAATTTCCGATATGTCTGCATGCATAATTTAATCGTGTAACCTGCTGATTGTTCCAAATCTGATTGACTAACTCGTGGCATATGCATGAATTTGATTACACATTTTGAAAATTTTTTTTGCACATTGATCGTTGATCAGCAGTGGTCACGAATCATTAGTCTGATCGTGACAATTTATCCCCTGTTTGCCTGTGAAATAAATCGAAAATCTTTATCTCGTCTTTCGAACAACAATCAATTAGGTGGGTTGAAGTTTTCGCTTAGTTAGTGCCTGCAACAGAAAAATAGCCTCTGTTAAGCAATGAAGATGCGTCTGCGACAGAGGAAGACTGTCGGAAGCCAGTAATGGCAAGTCATCGTGTAGGGATGGCCGGTTAATCTAATTGTTCAGAAGTTATTAAGTTGTTAATCAACATAAGGCGTCTGCGACAGAGGGAGACTGTCGGAAGCCAGTAATGGCAAGTCATCGTGTAGGGGTGGCCGGCCTTATTTTGAAGAACAACTAATTTTTACTGTTTACTGCATTTACTTCGTTCAGCAAGATATTGATTTTTTCTATTTCGTAAGCTTACCATGGGAAAGGAAATGTTAACATAACCTTACAAGAACGTCACGTTAACTGGATGTTAACTTGTCCCAATCCAACTCCGCTTGCGTTTTTTCAATATATATTTCCAACGCATCGAATTAAAGCTTCTGAAAAATACCATACAACGCTTAATTTGGCTTTGGGTGAAACTGATAACCGGGAAATCCTGGATAAGCTCAAAAAATGAAAAAAATGGTGAATGTAAGTAGTTAATAATATTTTTTGTGTTATATTGTAAAATAAATACTGAACTTCTTTTGGATAGGAAAAAAAGATGATGGAAGACTGGGAATCCTGGTGCAACAGAAAACAGCGGTATGTTCGGTTTCTAGTTTTTTAGATAGTTGATCTAGCATTGATAAAATTCTGCATTACGTAGATTCTTGTTCGTCGTAATGTACGTAGTACCAATCTTAATCTTCATCAAGAAATAAACACGCTGTCACTAAACAAGGTAAGGTTATTACTCTTCAGAAATAATTAAAGGGCTTGCCATAAATATTAAACGATTATGAAAATTTTTATTACAGGACGAATCATTGGCAAAAGATATCAACTTAGGTATAAGTGAAGAAGATCAAGAAGATCAGGAAGAGGAAGATATAAACGAAATCGAAGAATTTTTTATAAGCAAGGGTAATGATGACAAGGTTTATAAAGATGGTATCGACGATGGCGACAGTGATAATAACTTCATAGAACGTGGAGAAGAAAATCAACTAACAACTCGTCGATCGTGGGTTCTCAAAAGTGGTACCAACGTTGGAGACGAATTAGCAAAATATGTTAAGACAATTCCTGAGGCTCATAAATGTTTGAAGTAAGTTTTTTGAATTGGCAGAGGTCATAAAAGTTAGTGATGATTAATCTTAGAATTTCTTTATAGCCTCGCGTACTGGAACATTCTCGATTTAACAGAAGACACCCAAATAAAACCTTTTTTTTCAACGGATGATTGGGAAGAAATAAATGAAAGCTTTAAAAAGGAAGTAAAATTAGTTGAATCGGACATACCAAATGTTGTTGAATATTTTTTCGATGAAGTGGAAAAGGTTGATGAAAGATCTATCTTGTTATAGCATTTTTTAAAATGGCACTAACACTATATTTTTAGATATCCAAAAATATATTATCAATGCGATTGATTATTTGACTCCGGAGATGATAGAAAAAAATAGAAAAGTCAAATTCAGTGATGAGGATAAGGAGATCTTTAATGAATTAAGACGTGCCGTTATTACCTAGTGAGTTAAATATAATAATTATTTTCTTTTATTACATTTGATAGATTATAGCACATCACATAATTTTTATCTAAATTTTCCAATCTTTTATCACAGTGCCGAAAATTTGAAGGATCTTGAAGTTCCCATATCAGAAGCCGACTTTGACAATTCATTTCCAAATATGTTAACAAAAAGATTTTTAAACAAACGTGATCTCAAAATGGACGTGTAAGTATAAATAAGAATACAATGGCTAAATCTTTAAGTAGTAATTATTTGTTTTTTACAATTCTATAGCGGGGAAATTGCTTGTTGGGCTTCTGCCCGTCGAAGAAACGAGGGACGCTCAATAGTCCTCCGAGCACGCATAGGCCAAAAGTGCGATTTTCGGGGTACTTTGAAAAACAGCATTAATAACCTTGAAGCCATTATTGGCCTTAGAAGTGGTGGTCTCCCTGTTGCACATCGCAAAAAAAATTCACGAGGATAGAGTGGATCTTTCCGTAGCAATGCGCGATGTTCTGTATAATTTTTTTAAAACAAATCCCAATGCATCTGGAAATGAGCTTCATAGTACATATGTTCTTGGAATTCAAACGTGGGGTAGGTAAAAAAAATATAATAATTAAATTTCGAATTTTGTGACCAACTCACTTTTATTCTCATGTTAAGGGTGGATCCACGAAACTTATGGCATGGACTGTAAGGCTACAAATGTTTTACGCTTAGGAAGGCTTTCTCAGAAAAAGATGCCCAATACTTTAAAAACGCTTGCAATTCTTGAAGGCTTTTATACTACTATGTCGGACATCGAGGTAATATATGCTTACTATCGTTGCAGTTGGTACATATAAGATCTCACTATTATATTCATATTATTTCAGTCTACGTTGAAAATAATTTGTGATCACACAAATGGTGCCTCACTTTCTGGCTCACGTTTACATAGAGAACGCAAAAGAAAAATTCCAGTTTACAGCGAGCAATCCGGATTGTTCGGTACACCTTCATCAAGTCCGATAAAGAAAGGTAAATGTGAAAAATGTGAAAATTCTTGAAGTTAAAATAGATAATTGGGGCAATGCAAACTACATACCAACTGTAACTGTTTAGTAAAACGTCATGCAATTATTGTAATAAAAATGCAAGTAATGGAATTGCAATTTCATTTTCAGAATATTAATTGAAATTTGTTATAATCCACAATACAATTTTTGCTAAGTATTATAAGTGATAAGACAATAAGAAGTATAATTCCGATGACAAAATGTCATGGTTCATCCACAGTTCGAGCATGTTACGGTCAAAGACATCAAGCTGTGGGATGTTGAAATTCCTGACGATCACGATTCCCAGCTGGCCAACCCCGAATTAGCTGATGAACTTCTGGCAACTCGAGACGTAGGAGATTACTGGACCGCACCACCAAAGCGACATATTCATGTCATAGTCGAGCCTCCGGTGCAAATCGCCAGTTTGAGCCGTGAGAAAAAATTGCTTGACCAACTCGTCTTATTGCAGAACAATCACAAAATATTCACGATTAAAGCTTCGTATGGGAAGCAACGCAAGACTTTCTCGTGGCCGGTTGATATTAGTAGTGACCCTCGATACTATGAAGTTATCCATCCTCGAAGTCCTCCCTTTTCCGCAGGATACAAAGCCTGAGGATTTAACCCTACGTTTCGCCAAAGCTGATGAAAAGAATTGTGAAGAGTTAGGTTTGGGAGACGATGCCACATTTCGGCAATATCTCAAGTCTTGTGCCGTGCAGGCGTCCTTCACTCTCAAAGTACAAATCGATACTGTGCAAAAACCCTTTTCAGATTGGAAACTCGGTAAGGTATGCGAACTTCTTGGCCTCGCACCAGGTATTGATGAATTCCCCACTTTCAACTGTGGTATCGACAAACTCGATTTAGAGAAAGCCAAGGATTTGATGTCTCATCTTTGCAAAGATTTGAGGCTTCGTTATAAAGCGATTCACGGCGAAACAGAAGCCACTCGGAGCGAATACGTCTCCCCATTCCTTGTAACAGCTACCTCGCTTTTCGATGGGTTAGTAAAGTTATATCCGCAACTATATGTTGAAGGAAAATATGGCCGAGGTCCGCTCGATTTCTGCTTAAAACTCCTTGGAGTAATAATCGGTGTTGTGGAAGTAAAAAAAGAAGATTTTGACCAAGGCATGGCCCAGGTAGAATAAAACTTATATTTACGCATAGTCAAGAACTGATATTTATATTTTCCATTCATAGATTTGGAACGCGCAAGAAAAGGCTTACCGGCACGGTATAAGAAATAACGCGGGTTTTTATTTACGATTTATTTACCGTATCACTATACCTTGTATATATCATGTAAATATATCAATAATTGGTTAAATAACGACCATAAAAAGAAAATATAAGAGATAATATAGAAGGTGAGGGGTAGTGGTGATTATGTCAATACAAAAACTTATCGTCTCAAATGCTGGAAGGCTTATCAAAAATCAATCCAAATAGTAACGGTGAAAGCGTAGAGCAATAAGCATTAGAATAAATATGAGATCATGGGCTTTTTATTTGGCATGTTCCATGAACTTCTATGTCAATCCTATCTGTGATGTGATTGGTTGATAAATTTCTGACCGTTAACAGTTTTTTAATTATTCTGATTGGATGGATCACTACTGGAATGCGGACATGGTTGGTATGCTACAATGTTTTCGGATAGAAGAGTCAATCTTTTTCTTTTTAACATGAACATGATTCTTTCGGGGGTTTATCTGATCGAGATTATACCAGTCTTAATCCATGGATTCTGAATCAGAGCTGGATGAATTAGTCTTTGTCTCAGATTTGTTGTGAAATATTCCATGACGTTTCTTTTATTGCTTATTATTACAAAACAATGATCCTTCAAGTCTATCTTCGATATTTGAGAGAATTTTGTTAATTATATTTATAACCTCCTCTTGAGCTAGACCAGGTTTAGATTCCATTGATTTAGATAAGCTATTTTTAGTGGAGCTGGCTTTATGGCTCGAAGAGTCGCCTGTAGGTCTGCTATCTTCTTCAATTAATGGGATACTCATATCATCTATCTCAATTTTAGCATAGTACTTACAATTTTCCAGAGAAAATCCAAAGCTAATTTTTGTTTCGCGCATCCATAACCAATCCCGTCCTAGTACCAAATCAAATGATGGATTTTTGCGAATTTGAAAATCTATTACTTTGGTACCATCTAAGTTTTGTCACTTTTCTTTATACCAAAATTGCAAATCTAAGCATTTTATTTCTTTGCCTATCAAATCATTACCGGATATACCTTCTAACCCATAATCTTCTTCAAGCTTATTATACAAGCGCTTGCTAATAGTATTGGATTTAGATATTGTATCGATTAATACTTTTACTGGGATTTTTCTCTCTACGAGTGATTCTATGAAAACCATGTCAAATATTATTTTATGATGTATAATATAACCGAAAAAATAACTCAGTAAATAATTAACCATTCTCCACTGCTAAATAAAATTATTTGTAACCCACGTTGGAGGATTCTCTCTGAGATGATTAATAATTGCAGAAATAAAATCTGTTTCATCTAATATATGATTCAAATAGTAGTCTCTAAAGGTCCTGGTTATAGCTATCCCATTTCGTCGATCAGTAAAGATTGGAATAAGTGGAGGTAAATCAGAAACGGAGAATTCATCATCAGAATAATCTGGAATAAGTGGGGGTAGAACAGAATCCGAGAATTCATTATCAGAATAATCTGGATGTTTAATTTTAATTTTTGAATTAAGTTTCTTTATCATTTCTTCGCTAATCTCTTTACATCCCTCCAAACTAAGATATTTCAAATTATTATAGTTGCAGGCTATTTCCTCAAGAGCTTTATTACTAATCGAACAATTATCAAACTCAAGATGTTTAAGTTTTGAACAAGAACGTGCTATTTCAGTGATACATCGATTAGTGAGACATATACATGAATCAAGACTCAGATGTAATAGCTTTGGGAAATATCTTGCAATTTCTATAATTGGTATATTAGTGAAACTCTTACTTTTGTCAAGAATAAGAGTACGTATATCTGAACACGAGTGTAAAATCGTACTAATTAATGCATCAGAGATTTTTAAACCTTCCAATCTGAGATATAACATTGTTGAACAATAAAGAGATTTTGTCTTTCCACACATAACTTTTTTAAATTTCAATAATCGCCAATAAATAGTCTGAGGTTTCTTTCGACCATATGGACCTCTTTGATAATCTTCGTTGATAAACTCAACACGACGTCATAGAATAGGAGCACTGCAGTAATACCAAAACTGATTAACAAACAAAGCGGGATAGAGAAATTGATCGATTTCTAAAAAATATAAGATCTGTTCTAGTAATTCGGGTAAATCAAAAATATTTAAACCCTTTGGGTCATTGCTCCACAATAGTTGCATCATTCTTAAATTATATATTATATATCTTTAATCGAAAAAAACAGCTAATGTTCGGATAATTAATTTTAGACGTATATACTATGGATTTTCCAGATATTCTCAATTACACTTAATCTCATAACTAGTTCCATCAAAGAATGTAAGAGTTTTATTTGGAAAGTCCACTTTCATTGTATTTTCCTGGAACCATGGCTGACCCAATATCAGTACAGATTCAAGTTCGTGTTCATTGGTAACGAAAACATCGGTAACTTTTACTTGCTCCCATTTCTGATCTTGAGACAGAACTGAAATTTCTATTGTACGAATTATTCCCAATATATTGAGCTCGCTAATGAGACTGTATATTTCTGTATCAGATGTATTATCAATTTTCAAGCCTACTATTTTTGCTATACTTTCACCTATAATATTACAATTAGCACCGGAATCTAATATAGTTTTAACTGGTACTTTGTTAATTTCGCAAGATAAAATTCTCATCGTGATGTTTTATTATAACAATATATTTAATTCTGCATTTTTAAATTCGTATTAATAAATAATAATTTCGCATTTACAATGACTGAAGTTAATAGCAATATTAGGTCGGCTCATCAGAATTTACAAGAGAATGATAATGAAATCGCATCGCTAATAGAATCAGTGAAAAAATTATCAATATTGATCAATGATAGGGATACAGAAGTAGTTTGTGATTCGGGTTCAGAATGTCCAATTATCACTTATGAGGTTGCGAAAAAATTGGGTTTCGAAAAAGATAAAAGTTTACCCAATAGCGAAGCTAGTGCCAAGGCACATATTACTGATAAAATGGTATCTGGTATTGTTAAACAGATATCACATAGAAGAATTTCAATTTCTCTTCACCAATTAATGGAAATAGTGAAACCCGAGATTGGGCTAAAGATTATTGACTTAATAGCAAATCCAGATATTTCTCGAAGAAATCGTACACCATCTAAGGCTAAAAGAAAAAAGAGATTTTTAAATGATACTGCATCTGATTCCTCATCCTCGTCTTCATCCGAATATGGGTCTATCTCTGAATGATATAATGATGATAAAGATTTTACTATGGGCGTAGTGAAAGTGAAGAAGCGTGATTAGTAATTGTATAGGTCTATAATATCTGATATCTCAGCATTTTTTTCTCTAGTCGTTGGAATATTTCGTCTGTTATTCATCACACCATAATGATCTGATGCAATAATAATTACCTTGTGTCTTAATGCTAATTGACGGATACGTTTACGTTTGAAATCATTCTCATCTCCATGAATATCAATAGCATGATCGGATCTGATTTTTCTCAAATATGATGAGCTTATTTCATAAATAGCTAGAAAATTATTAATCGGGTGAACATTTACATCACCATCTTTATCTCTTATTAGAAATGGAAATTTCGCCGGAATTGCTTTCTGGATCCAAATGAGTAATTCCCTGGCCCGTAGTGGATCTTTCTCCATAGATACTAATGGTCTAG